GGTCGGAACCTCGTTCCCTCTGGCCGGAGGCGCTCGCGCCACCTTACAGAGGGGGAAACTGAGAGCCGGAGTGGGAAGTGACTTAGAGCACGGTTTCTCCCAGAGCCCGCCCGCCCCTCGTCCCCGCAGGCTCTCTGCGGAACCCCCCGTTCAGGGGCTCGGTTCCAGACACGGGACGGCCCGGCCCCAGGTGTGCCTGCGACCCCGGGGTGCGGCGCCGCCGGGGAACACAGGTGCGTCCTCTGTGGTGAACGAATCCTGACCTGGGTCACACCACGTCCTGGAGCCGCTGCAGGGACTTGAGGGACAGCCACGTGACGGTGTCCCCGCAAGTCAACCGAAAGGGGTCCGCCCCCGGAGCACCTGGGCACTCCGGTCCAGCAGCTCTGCCCCGCGGGGACTGGAAGGGAGACGGGCTCGGGGAGACGGAAGCGGAGGGAGCTTTCTGGCACCACGACCTGCCCGCAAGCCCGGAGGCGCTGGCTTCCTGCTCAACACAGAGCAGTTAACCCGACGACGGTGCGAGCACCTGCTCTGTGGAAGGTGCCAGACCGACGGAGAGGGGAGCTGATGCCTGCCTTCAAGGAGTAACAAAGTAATCTGCATCTGTAGGGCCCTTTGTGCTTAGTGTGATCTTAATGCTAATTTATTTACATTTTCTCCCGAAATGCTAAATGCAACAATGAGAGGAAGGAACCGTCCTCCTCAGTTTGCTGGTGACTGAAGAGACTCAGAGAGGGGCGGGGACCTACCCGAGGCCACACAGTGAGAGAGCCAGGGCCTGAATAGAAGTCTTCTTTTTTCCCTTTTAATGGAGGTATCAGGGGTTGCACCCAGGACCTCGTGCATGCTAAGCATGCGCTCTGCCCCTGAGCCACACTCAGCCTTTTCACGTCAAGCACATCAGTGGATTCCAGGGCCCCTCAAACCCGCCGCCTTATTTGAATTTCACACTTGTCTTGGGAGACAGATGGACAGCTAGCATCCCGTTTTCAGTTCTGAGGAGTTGGGCCGACTTACTGAGTCTCCTGGGCAGCAGATGTTGCCGCAGGCCTCAGGCAGCTCCTTGGCACAGACCCTTCTTAGTTGTGTTCCCATGATGGACCTCATGCTTTTGACCACGTTACTTGCCTGCCAAGAATGCCTAGTTCTTCCGCACTAACCCAAACGCTCCCTGCCCGCCTCTCGGCCCCACCTCCTTGCCAAAGCCCCGGCAGCTCCAGCCCCCACGGGTCCTGTGCTGCTTCTGGGTCTGAGTGTCACGAGCTTCTGGTCAGTGTGGACTGTGAGCCGGCAAGCGTCTGAGCACCAGGGCATGCTACTCCTACTGTGTACCCCTGGGCACACAGCCGGTGCTCAGCAAATATATAATGCCAGCAAGAACAAATTAAGCAAGATAAACCGTCGACCCGCGGCTGAAGAAATTTAAATTGGACCCAAGAGAGCATTTTCCCTTAGCAGGCTGTCCAGCATCACAAGTGGTCACACTCCCTGTCTAGACTGTCTTGGGCAGGTGAACCTCAAGACAGGAGGATGGACCTCAAAAGATTTCCAAGGCCCCTTCAGCCCTTGGAAACCATTAAAGGGAAACTCAAGAACACGTCACCCTTCCCCCATGGTTGTGATTTGTCCACTTTTATCTCTCAGGGGTATTTGAAATCCCAGATTGTCACCCTCAGCTACCCAGCATGCCTCTTGGCACCTTCCCTGCCAGCATTGTGGGCCTGGGAATGAGACACACAGTGTCAGCTTGAGCCAAATGTAATTAGGAACATCAATCTGCTGCCCACAACCCACGTGACACGCTCCCGAGCAGAAAGAAAATGTTTCTGATTCCTCACGTGCTGCTGGCTGGCCCGTCTGTCACGTCTCCCCAGTCAGAACAGAGGTCTGGAAGAGCAAGGGCCCTCTCAAAAAACTTGGCTTCCCTTCTTCAAGTGAGGGGCTGGGCCTCGAGGAAACATGCAGAAATGTGTGCGTTTTCTGTGGTTGACTGTCTGTGCCACAGGACCTCCCGGCTCCTGTCCCTGGTGACGTGGCCCATCTGTTTGGATTCTCCCCAAAGCAGAGTCTGAGAAAGGAGCTGGATGCAGGTGGTCTGACTGGAAGGTGATCCCAGAAGGTGGGAGTGGAAGAGTGAATGGGGGTGAGCAGGGAGGCTGGGAAGGAGGAAGAGCCAGTATGAAGACTGGCTTTGTATTTTGTGTTGTCAAGGTCACTGCTGGAGCCGAGGGGCTGCTTCCTCGGGGCCGTCTGGGATGTGTCCGGGGACTGTCTGCCAGGAGTCAGTCAGCGGCGTTCGTCCTTGGGCTCCTCTTCCCCACTGTCTGGGGCTGCACCTTAGGGCGTGGTTCAGCTTGGAGAACGCCCTGGGCACCCTCACCCCCCCAGCTCTACTTGAGGTGGGTGCTACTAGCTCAAGTCTGAGCTCCCTCGGACCCCCACTGAGCCGCGGAAACCAGAGGGAGGAGAAGCGAACGTGTTACAAACTGTGGAGCAAATGAGTTTGCAGTAGGAGTTCTCGTCTCTTCCAGACTCATTTAGGTCTCAGTGCTGTGGCCCATGCTCTGTCCTCAGGCTTAATGCCTTTGTACACTTTCTCTGCCTGGCAAACTCCCACTTATCCTTCAAATCCCAGTTCAAATGACACTGCCTCTATGTAGCTTTCCTGACACTACCTCCACAGTTGCCTGGTTCACACCGTTTTATAATGATCATAATTAAATGTATTTGTCCTGTCTCTTTTGATGGGCTGTGACCATGTTGTGGCCATGTGTTCTCGCTCTGTCTTTCTTTTTTTAATCATGAAGAGTAGCTGACACATAGGAGATGCAGTGAGGCTGCCATAGGCATCTGTAGCTGCAGCTTTAATAACCCTTGGCTCAAATCCCAGCACTCCACAGGGAGGGTCTCCGACCCTCCAAGTGTGTTTGCTTTCTAGCTTTTGCCCAGGCCCCATGTTGGGCACCACTGCCCAGAGCGAGAAGGACTTGCTCCTTGCCTGCAAGAAGCTTGTGGTCCCCTAGAAGAGGCCCACAGACATGGGTGCACATCGCGGACCACTTAGCAGGGGGCCAGATGGAGGGAGGTTCCCAAAGCCGTGAAGCCCCGTAGGGGGGAGGGGCTCCTCCACTCCTCACTGCTGCTTCTGCCGTGCCACTCCCAAACACACCCACACACCACCTGCCCTCAGGTGCTCAGTGATCAAGCCCTGAGGGTCTCACTGTCCCTCAAGTCCTTCCCTTCCTCCCCATCTCTACTACTGCTGCCCAAGCACAGCATTTTAATTTGCTTGGGCCTCCCTGACTGGCCCTCCTGCCTCCTGCCTGGTGCGGACCAATCCATTCTCTGTCCAGCAGCTCATGCACCCCTGACCAAACACACACACATCTGCCTCGTTGAAACCCATTAGAGGCTTCCAGCTGCCTTCGGGTTGAGGTCCAAACAGGGTCCTCCAAGACCTGTTCCGATGCCTGTATCTCTATGTTGTCTATCTCATCATAGTTTTGCCTTTCTCTCCCCCTAAACTCCTACCAGACAGTTCCTTAGTCTTTCGTCAGATGTCAACTCCTCCAGGAAGCCTTCCTGGACTGGGACTGCGTTGGTTTAGATGCCCAGCCTCTGTGCTACTTTCCGTAACTGCATGAGCCTCATTCTTTCTGCACTTCTACACTGTTTTAGCATCTCCTGTTTGTGTGTTTGACCTCCTGTTGAAGAACGAGCTGCTTGAGGACTGGGCCTGGCTCTTTCTGTTGGTAATTCCAGCACACAGCGAGTGCCTGGTTCAGTACCCTTCCCTGCACATAACTTTTCTGTTTCCCATTTGTCCCTTTCTCTTCCTTTTGTGCTGTCTCCCCATCCTCTCCCCCACTGCCTGTCTCCACGGTTGCAACCACTTTTCCATGCTTTGAACCTCTCTGTGTCCTCCCCACACTTGTTCCCCGAGCCCCTTGGCCCACCTTTCCCACTCTGCCTCTCACCTCCCCGCACCCCCTCGGCCACTCCTCATGCCCGGGCGGGGGCGTCCCCCTCCCCTCCCCCCTCTTCCTGTCTCTCCTCCAGCTGTCCCCCCGCCCTGTCTGCTTGTTTTGTTCCCCTGCCCTTCCCATCTCTGTGTTTCCACCTCCCTGGCCCTGTCCCTGTGGCTGTGTCTCCTCTCTGTCCCCCCTCTCTCTTTCCCTGTCCCTCACCCCTTTTCTCCATGGCCTCTGTACAACACACCTGCTGACGCTGGCGTGGGGGAACTGCTGGGCAGGAGCCACCTGGAAGCAAGCAGATCAGGGGCTCAAGTCCCAGCTCCGCCGCACACTGTCTGTGTCATCGGGGCAGCTGCTTGACCTCTTTGTGCCCTAGTCTCCTGCTCTTCAACATGCAGTAATAATGACAGTGGCCTCACAGAGCTGTCATATGTGAGACAGCGCGGCGGGCCGGGTAGCCACTCCATAAATCCTGCTACTACTGTGAGAAATCAAGAGTATTCTCACCATTCAGTCCTTCGGGCCTCATGATTTTTTTTTTGAAGCTTAAAAAAAATTTATTATTTTTTTAATGGACATACTGGGGATTGAACCCAGGAACTCGTGCATGCTAAGCGTGCAGTCTACCACTGAGCTGTAGGCTCCCTCCAATTCCCCATGGTTTTTTAGTTAGGGTGGACTAAACGACTCTTATCTCCCCCATTTCTCAGGAAAGGAAACTGAGGCTGGGAGAGCCGAGGCGGCCTGCCCAGGCTCACAGCTGCGGCGGAGGACAGCAGGCCCAGGGCGCAGGCCTGACTCTGTCGTCGCTGCACCTCCCACAGCCCCGAGTGTCTGCCTGAGCATCTGGGGGTCAGGGCCCCTCCCGGGTACCAGGAAGGGAGTCAGGAGCCTGAACCCTTGCTCAGGAGTGGCCCCCTGTGAACATGAGCCTTACTAAAGCCCCACATGCCAGCCAAGACATGGTTCACTCATTTATAGAGTGGGACTACAGAAACCCACCTGCTTAAGAACTATCAATTGGCAAACATTTTATTTAGGTGAAAAATGTTTGTAAGAAAAGAGAGAAAAGGAAAAAAAGCTTGCCATACCACCAATCACCAACAGAGGGCGAGAGCGGTCTCTTGTTTGGAGACACCTGGGCCCCGGGAACCAGATTTCCAGCCTTCAGGCCCTTTGGCTCTAAACTTTGGCAACACCCACTCAGTGGTTCTCAAAGCGTGGGTCCCAAATGAGCATCAGCTTCACGTGGGAGCTTGTTATTAGTGCGGATTTGTGGCCCCCCCACTTTTGACGCAGAAACTCTGGAGGTAGGGTCCCAGTGGTCCGTTTAAATAAGCCCTGGGGGAGGGGGTCTGAGAAGCACTGACTTACCTCACAAGGTACCGGGAGCACCCTGTCAGATGCGTCCACCTCCCAGGTAACGTAGCTGAATTTAACTCGGGCTTCAGGATCTCAGCCGTGGCTTTCATAGTCTCCCCTCTGGAGACAAAATGGTAAGAATGGCCCAGAGCAGAAGGGAGAGGGCAGGTGCCTGAAACAGCTCCCAGTAGGAACCATGGCTGTGATGTCCCTGCTTTGGTTTGAAATCGTGTGCAAACCCAGGTACTGCCCCGGCTTAGCCCCACTCGCCTCTCTGAGGCTGGGCCTGAAGGCGCTCCCGGGAGCAGGGATGGCAGGTGTGCTGTCTCATGGGAGACCTGCTCCTCAATTTGGAGACGGAGGATGGGGCCTCGGGGCCTGGGAGCAGCGTTTTGGAGATCCACTTGGAGCCCAGCAGCCCCTCCTCGGATGCCCCCCAGGCAGACTCGTCCCTTCCCCGGCCCCCCTCCCAGGCCCTGCCCACCCCCGCCCCCAGGACCACTCTCCTCCAGGCTGGCCAGATCCGGCCACACTTCAGTGCTCAGCAGAAAGCCGCCCGCCCAGCCTCTGTCCTCTCCCTCCGTGAGCTCCCAGCACAGAGGAGCTCGTCCACGTTGGATACCCTGAGGCCTGGGTCACTGCTGCATCTCAGTCCCTCCTCTCTTGTAAAGAGCAGGCTGTGGACCAGATGGTAGCCAGGTCTCCCACAGGCTTGGATGCTGTGCGTGGGGGTGCCGCTCCAAGAATTCCCAAACTCCAGTTCACAAGAACAAGTCAAAGCTGCCCTTAGCTTGTGCAGGGCCCGGAGCAAAAGTTTTCTGTGTGCAGGACACTTGTTAAAAAACAAAATTCAGCTGAGTCAATTTGAAGATCTAACTGGCTTTATTAGGCAATTCACGGATCAGGCAGCCTTCCACCTTGCCCTTAGGAGATGCTCCCAGGGGCTGCGTAGAACAGAAGGCTTTTTACAGAAAGCCGAGGCCAAAGAGTTATTAGCAAAAGAAAAGAGGAGTGTTCTCAGGTCAGGACATCATCTTTCTGTGGGGAAGGGACCAGCGAGGGTTCTGTCACACAGACTGCCTCTCTGTCCTCTGGGGGATGGAGAGGGCCTGCGTGACAGATGACCGCATTGTGGTGACCAGAAAGTCCCAGACTGGTTTATTAGGGTCACATTTCTGGTGACGGCTGAAACTGCGGTTAGGTTAGATATTAAATCTAGGCTGACACACTTGGGGCCTGTGGTTTTCCTCTTTAACACCCTTGTCTAGATAAACAATTTGACTTTATAATATAATACTTGGCCCATATGAGGTGTTGTAATTTATCAGGGAAGACTTAGAATAATGCACAGAGAAGGGTCCTGATACGTTTATTTCTTGTCGAATTGGTGCACGTGAAGAGTCTGTGGAGGGTCCAGAAACCATCTCTTCCTGTGCTTCATTGTCAGATATGTCATTCCTGGCTAACTGCTTATCTTCCGCCGGAGGAAGAATTGAGAACGCGGGGGTTATTCATGACGCCACGGCTCTTGGGAACCTGTTTGTTTCAAAACAACAGGGATCTTCTTGCCTCTGCAGTTTCCTGCTGCCATTCACTTAATGCCAGTGGCAGCCTTGCTCACGATGCCACGTCGCCCACTGTGCTGCCATGAATCCTGGCCCTCAGTGACTCTCTCAAAGGGCCTGCTTCACTGACGATGGCCGTAAATGCAGGTCTAACCCATTGTGCAGAAGGAGAAGGGTCGTCTGGTCTGTGGCCATGCATTGACCGTTCAGGATGTTCGGGTGTAAATGACACTGTGGGCCCCAGAGGCTGCAGCGGGGTGGGGGGTGCCCTGGGATGCTCCTGGAAG